CAAACGTGATATACAGTATTATACTGTATACAGTATAACCCATGTAAATATAGCCAACTGATTTTTATTGTCAAGAGAATGAGAAGACAAGTCACAGACTGGGAGAAAAATTTACAAAATCGGTATCCAATAAAGAGTGTTATCCAAAATTTACAAAGAACTCTTAAAACTCAACAATAAGAAAGTGAATAACCTAATTTTAAAATGAGCAAAAGACCTGAACAGACTCCTCACCAAAGAAGACACAGATGTAGAGATCTTTTTATAATATAATAGTCTCCTTTATAATAAAGGAGGCTAGTGTCCCTACATCGGAATGTGGACCCACACTGGGCACCACTTAGGCATCAGTGTAGAATGAAAGGATGGGGAAATCATGCCTTCTGTTTCTTTGCCAAGACTTGGCCTTTGTGAGTTTTCCTAATACAGCATGTTGATTAACCCTTGCTATGGCATTTTGGGGAGTTCTTGTCAAACTCTGATGTCGAATGGTAAAGATACAGATAGGCCACATCTTACATGACATGATCTTCCTTGAGCACCCGTCTCAGCACTATTTGCTTTAAAAAAAAAAAAATCCTCTTCTTCCATTGAATTTACTTGGCATCTTTGTCAAAATCAAGTGGCCATATGAATTTAAAGTATTAACTCACACCATAGGCAAAAATTCCCTCAAAAATTACCTCAAAAATTACCTCAAAATTCCCTCAAAATTCATAGGCAAAAATTCCCTCAAAACATAGGCCTAAATGTAAAGACTAAAACAATACACCCCTTAGAACAAAACATAGTTGAAAATCCTTATGACCTTGGGTTAGATAAAAACATGAGTGATAAAAGAAAAAAAAATTTAGGGACACCTGGGTGGCTCAGTGGGTTAAAGCCTCTGCTTTCAGCTCAGGTCATGATCCCAGGGCCCTGGGATCAAGCCCCACATCAGGCTCTCTGCCCAGCGGGGAGCCTGCTTCCTCCTCTCTTTCTCTCTGCCTCTCTGCCTACTTGTGATCTCTGTCAAATAAATAAATAAAATCGTAAAAAAAATTTAAAGATTTATTTATCAATTTTAGAGAGAGAGCATACCTGCGAGCAGGGAGAGGGGCATAGGGAAAGAATCTCCAAGTAGACCCCCTACTTCGGGTGAAGCCCAGTGCAGGGCTCAGTTTCACAACCCATGATATCATGACCTCAGCCAAAACCAAGAATCCACGTTTAACTAACTAAGCCACCCAGGCACCCCCAAAGAAAAGAATTTTTAAATGGGATTTCACCAAAATTAAAAATGTTTGTGCTTCAAAAGACACTACTAAGGAAATGAAAAGATAAGTCATAGATTGGACAAAATGCTTTCAAATCATTTACCTGTGGAAATAAATAAAAAGAAATTTCATTTAGGATGGAGTCAGTAGGCCAGCAGGGGGAGGGCTTATGCCAACCACTCATTGTCAATTGCATACCAAACCAGGAGATGTACCTTGCAAGTAGATACCACTTTACTACTCGAAAAGGCTTTCCTCCTCCCCCAGAAGGAGCCCAACCAAAGAGGCTGTCACAGCTCAATCAATGAAAAGTTACTATCCTTCAAAATGGCATTTCACCCCAATGGACTTTCTGTTAACAGCATCCCTATACATCCCTATACAGTTTCCTCTATAAGAAAAGCATTCCTATTCTTTGTTTGGTGCACTAGTCTATGGTTCTGTCCTAGCTTGCTTATCTGGGATTGCAATTCTCTGCTTTTCCTGAATAAACCCATTTTTGCTGGTAAAATAACTGGCAGTTTTATTTTGTAGGTTAACTTATCTATTAAAGAACTTGTATCCAGAATATGAAGTACTCCTACAACCCAACAATAAGAATATAAATAACCCAATTTAAAATGTGCAAAATATTTCAATAGATATTTCACCTAAAAGGTACAGGTACATCCAATAAACACATGAAAAGCATCACTAGTCATTAAGGAGATGCAAATCAAAAGCATGATGAGACACCACTTCTCACCCACTAGGACAGCTATAATTTTTAAAAAGGTGTGTAATGATTGGAGATGTCAAGAAACAATGTGGGAAAAAATTGAAACATTCACTCAATACTGGTGGGAAGTGTAGCCATTTTGAAAAAAGTTTGGTACCTTCTTAAGTTAAAGATAAATTTACCGTATGTCTCAGTGATTTCAATCCTACCTATCTACTTGGGAGAAATGAAAACATAGGTCTACACAAACACTTTATATGGATATTCACAGCAGCTTTATCTGTAATCGTCCAAAAAGGGGGAAATCCCAATTATCCACCAACTGGCGAACCAATAAACCAAATATGGTGTATCCATACAATGGAAGAGTATTCAGCCCCTAAATGGAATGAAATGCGGACACACACTACAACAGAGATGAATCTCGGAAGCAGAGTATGCTAAGCAAAATGAACCAGACTAAATATAGTTTGACTTCAATCATATGATGTCCTGAAAAGGCAAATTCGCAGAGTCAGAAAGGCAGTTGGAAGTTGCCTAGAGCTGAGGAGTGGAAATGAGGAGTGGCCGCTAATGAGCACAAGAGATCTGGGGATGACAGAAATGTTCCAAACCAAGATTGTGGTAATGGTTACACAAGCCCATAATTTTACTTAAAATGGTTGAATTACACACTTAAAACAAGTGGATTTTACGGCATGTAAATTATATCTCAATAAATTTATTTGGAAATAAAAGAAATGTGATTTTGTGGCCCTCATCTGCCTCGCCCTTCATTTTTTTCTCATTTTCTATGGAATTTATAGTTATTGGTTCCACTCAGAGACTCTAAACCCTTGTTCTATGGGCTCTTAGGCTGAAACCGATTCCCAGAGGGACACTGGCCGAATTCTATCAGCCTTCAACACTCCTGACAGCTAGGGTAGTGAGTACCCTAGTGCTAAACCGGATGGGGGTTGTGTGTGGTTCACTGACAGCATGACTCTAGCAAGCAAAGCTGTATGAAACACATTGGTGGCCCCAGGTAGGGCTCCACAGGTCTCAGCAAGACCGAGGGCCTTTAGCCAGTGCTGACAGCTTCAGAGAACACGCTCCTACAACTCAGGGACTACAGCCAAAGTTCCCTAGGCAAGTGTGTTGGTAGCACAAGAAGTCAAGTTTCAGGTGGGAAGAGGAGAATGTCCACAACACAAGGAAAAGAGAAAGAGAGGCCCAGAGGAGGGTGTCGATCTTTGTAGGGCATTTCTCCCAACAACTGAAGAAAACATTCTTCTTGAGTGCATGTTGTGTTTTTGCCAGGACCATAGGCTAGACTTCAAAACAGGTCTCCATAATTATCTAAGAGTCAAAAGCATACAGAGTGTATGTTCTGACCCCAAGTATTAAATTAGAAATCAATAACAATAGGATATTTAGAAAATCCCCAATTTTAGAAATTAAACAACATATTTTGGGATAACTCATGTATTAAAAAGGAAATCACAGGTAAATTAGAAAACATTTTTACCTGAATGATGATAAAATCCAATACATCAAAATTGTCTGATGTGGCCAACCCAGTGCTGAGAGAGACATTTATAGCTTTACATGTCAATAGCCACAAAAGCAAAGGGATAAAATCAATAATCTAAGCTTTAACCCTAAGAACCTTGAAAAGCAAGACTAAATTGAAGCCAAAGGAAATAAAAGGAAGCAGATAAGTAAAAGAAGCTGATGAAAGAGAAAAGGGACAAACAATAGAGAAATACAACTGTTAACTTTTCTGTAATCCACACAGAAAATTTAATTTCATATGTGTTCTATATTAAAATGTATATCTGGAACCATAAAGACTTTAGGAGGAAAAAAATCAAAGAGCATCTATTGGGACTAAAAATCAGAAAGTCATTGTTTCTGGGGTAGATTGGTGGGGGGAGGTGGGAATTGCCTGGAAAAGGGCAGGAAAGAGCTTTCTCAGGTTTCTCAGGTGAAGGAAATGTTCCATATGTTGTCCTAGGTGGTAGTTACAATGATTATGTAATTGTAAAGGGTCATTGAACTAACACTTAAGATTTGGATGTCTTCATGCATGTAAATCACACCTCAATTTTTTTAAAGTAGGAAAAAAAGCTTATGAGGTTGGTATTTGGACAGCTCTGGAGCTCCCAAAGCATTCACAGCATCCTCTGAGACTCTGCTGAGAGTGGTTTTATAACCAAGACATCCATAAGATCCGCTGTGGCCACAACTCCTTATCCAAGCCATAGAGCTAAACGGTTATCACTAGAGAGCTTCCCTTCAGTGTTGTAATCTTCCTCCCCAGCTCCGGAGGTCTCCAAGGAGAAACGAAAATTGAGATTCTGGATATATGGTATTGGAAGGAAAGTCACTGCCCATAGAACTTCACGGGTGACTGAAGCTGCCGCCAGTGCAGATGTCCACACTTTGCAAGACAGTAATATTTCCAATGACACTCTGAGAGAGGAGCTAATGGAGTACACAGTGGATTTTCTCCCCAAATGTGTTTACTTCACAAGGCAAACTTTCCCATTGTGCTGGCAGATTTCGTCTTTTCATTTAAATCCGCAGGTCTTAGACTCCCAGACAGCTGGCACTGACTGCCGGATGTCTTGTTGCAAGGAGAACCAAATCTTTATCACACTGTGGCCCTGAAACTTGTTTCCTGTGCCTCAGAGGAATGAGAGATATATTAAAGGTCACTACTCATGGGGGGAGGAGGGAACCTGGAAAAGGCATGAGCAATGAGTATGTGGTAAGAGTTCAAGGTGAAGAGGCTGAGCCAGAAACAAGAGTGGATAAAACTCCAGGCCTGCCTTTGGGAAATAAGGAGACCAGAACCCAGGCTCTTCCAAGTGGCTTCCAACAATCTAACAGGTTAGCACTTTTTCATTTTCTTTCAACTATTCCTGGGCATGGGAGTTTTGCAAAAATGGAGTGGAGGGAACAAAATAAGCCAATAACCACTTGACTTCTCTTTCTGGCCATCCCAGGGTCACCCTGTAATCTGATCTGCTCACCAGTTTTTCCATTCCTGGAGAGTGCTTCTATTTGACCATGGCTGGGTGGAGCTGTCTTGTGACAGGTGCAGGAGGGTTTCTGGGTCAGAGGATCATTCGCTTGTTGGCAGAGGAAAAGGAGCTGCAGGAGATCCGGGCACTGGACAAAGTCTTCAGACCAGAACAGCGGGAGGAATTTTCTAGTAAGTGAACTTGAGTTCATGGGTGGGTTGCTCCATCTTAACCTCTACATAGGGGGTTCTTGTCTAGCTGATCAAGGAAAGTTGTAGCCAAATCAAGGATGATTCCCTGTCCAAAGTCATCAGAAAGGAAATCAGAGGTGGTGTAACGTAAGACATACAGGGCTGTCAGGAGACAGGATCTGACCCTGATCCAGAACTCGAGATCTGGATTACTACAGGCCCACCACTCTGGCCTCTAGGTCTCTTTTCTTCTCATTTATAAAATCACGTATCTCTCCCTTGTCAACAACCCTAATGTTCTGAAGATTGTGGACTTGGCAATGGCTGTGCAACACCTCCAAAGGGCAGGCAAGTGCCATTACCTGGAGACCCTACAAGTAGGTCCCTGCCCCTCTTAATTGCCCTGGCCTTTCTGTGGCTTCATTTAGCATCTCCAGTGAAGGTGAAGCTGAGTGTGTGTGTGTGTGTGTGTGTGTGTGTGCACATGTGTGTGTGTGTGTGTGTGCACACATGTGTGTGTGACAGGGTTGGGGGAGGAAGGTGGAGAGGACACACAGCGAACAGCATGGGAGAGAGCCAGAGACAAACTGTGAGGCTCCAGAGCGTGGGTTCCTCATGTGTATTCCCTATACATCTCTTCTTCCCATTTGTCCCTGCTTATCACCACAAGAAAAGTGACAGCAGAGGGGCACCTGGGTTGCTCAGTGGGTTAAGCCTCTGCTTTCAGCTCAGGTCATGATCTCAGGGTCCTGTGATCGAGCCCCATATCGGGCTCTTTGCTCAGCAGGGAGCCTGCTTCCCTTCCTCTCTCTGCCTGTCTCTCTGCCTGCTTGTGATCTCTGTCTGTCAAATAAATAAATAAAATCTTCAAAAAAAAAAAAAAGTGACAGCAGACTCTGTTCACCGCTCTGCTGCTTTCCCCAGACTGCTGCCCCGGGTGCAAATGCAAACCTAGATTTCTAAAAACCTGTTTCACACTGTTTCACCGCCCCCCCAAATCCTCAAAACAGCCCTTTGAGGAAGGTAGAAAGGCACTCTCACCCAACAGATTATTGAGGAAATCAAGGTACATGAAAGTAAAGCAACTTGCCGAGGCACTCTGATTAAGGGACTGCGGGGCTCAGAGTAGAGCCTCATCACGGACGTCCCAGTCATATGGCTCTAAGGCTGCCTCTTGGCAAAGGGAGTCTTCAGTCTCTCCCATTTCCCCACTGTGTGTCCCCCAAAGCAACCCCTCCCCTTCCCAGCCCCTGCGGACTGGGTGTCAACATGCAGGCCCGGTGTGCCCAGAAGACCCTACCTCCCCACACAGAACCTCCCACACCCCCAGCCGCCCTCTAGGACTGCACCCATCACTCTTCTCTTCCTCATTCCTGTGCTCTGAACATCTCACACATCCTATTTCCTCTACCCTTTGCTTCAACGGGGCCTCTGATGAACACACATGAACATACACGATCAGCATCAATTGTTTGCGATCTTTTCATCTCAGTAATACTCACAGTCTGACAGCCGATGCCGGGAAAGTCAAGGTTCAGCCCAGAAGACGGTTCCCCGGTGTGACCAGTCAGGCTGCGTCGGGGGCGGGCAGGGGCTCTGTACAGATCCCAGTGGAGAATCCTCACAGCGGTCTGTCTACACTAGGCACTGCGCTCCATGTTCTACACCTGTCTATTCATTTGCTCCTGGTACCATCCCTGGAGGGTAGGTAATGTTATCCTCCTCTTTTTAAAGACAAGAAAGCAGGCACAGAAGGGTGTCTTAGTCTGCTAAGGCTGCTACAAAAAGATACCCCAGGCTGGGTGGCTCAAACCCATTAGATATTTATTTCTCACAGCTCTGGGGGCAGAAGTCCAAGAGCAAAGCAGAGTCATGTTCTGGTGAGAGCTCCCTTTGGGGTTCAGAGCCTGTGTCTTCTTGCTGTAGAGGGCTCTCTCTGGAATCTTTTCTCTATGACCCCCTCATGAGGTCAAACCCTCGAGACCCGATCTCCTTCCGAGAAGGAGAGAAGGCCCCATCTCCTGACAGCATCACACCGGCATTAGGATTTCGACACGTGAATTTGGCGGGACACAAACTCTCAGACCATAGCAAAGGCTAACTTGTTCAAGGTCCCCCAGCTGAAAAATGGCAACGCTGGAACCGAACCCAGAAGGTCCAAATGCAGTGGCTGTGCTCTTAGCCACTAATTCGTCTAGTAGCTTCTCTCAGGGCCTCCCTACAAGGCAGCCCACACCGTGTAAGCAAGGGAGAGTTCGGGCTGCGCAGAATGCAGGAATCCGCTGAGCCTTGGGGAGGGCGGGAGCTGCGCCTCTACCACCGACACATCGGCAGCGCCCTCTTCTGGTCTCTCTGCACCCCTGCAAACTAATAGGTCGATCTGAGCCAGCCTGCGGAAGTCAGCGGACAGACGAAGGGACGAAGGGAGGAAGGGACGACGGGAAGAAGGGAGCGGGGCAGGAGGCGGGGAGGCAGAGATGGGGACACAATCAGAGAAAATCCTACTAATTCCCAGCAGCTTTCCCCCTGCCTTTCTCCCCCTTCGGGGCCTTCTTGGAGCTGCCCAACAACGAGAACTTGCCCAGGACAGAGCAAACTTGGCAGAAGTGTAGGGAGCAGCAGATGGTTCTTCCAAGTGGTAACCTAGGAAGGAAATTTCCCTGCGCTGAATTTTTCACTCTGAGTTTCTCTCTCACTGTTCTGGGGCTTCCATTGCCTATTTCAGTTAAACTGTCTTATCCTTTAAATACATACATACATAACATACATAGACTTATCCTTAATCTGCCTCAGGGAGAGAAAAAGAGTCCTGCCCTTGGGTGACAGGGGAAAGAGAACCAGGCTTGAAGGCAGGGGACAGGCCTGAATCTTCCGGGGAACTGTGATTTAGACCTGCCCCTTAACCTGAATCCACCTTCCTTGTCTGTATAGTGGAAATCGGAATACCTATGTCATGAGATAGCCGTGAAAGAAAAATCAGGACACTGTGGTGGTGTGGGCAAAGCAGAAAGCACAAAATAAGTGGAGGGTATTTATCCAAACTATCCGTGGCGCCATGTTTAGTTCACCGGCCAGTGTGAAGTGAGGACGTTACCCGAAGTGCCCCTTCCTGTGGATTTCCAAGGAGCTGATGTCCCTGAGGTTGAATCCACTGCCCTTGGCTCAGTGGCCAGAATGTTAGTCCCTTGGTGGCTGACATATTTTCGGCACTGATATCTGCTTTAGATGATATCTAATCAGGTTTTGTTTTGTTTTGTTTTGTTTTCAGTTAAACCTCTTATTTGGGCCCATCCTAAATTCCCTGTTACTGGCTCCATTATCCTTCTGGTCACCTAAGCAGGAAATACTTGGGTTGACATGGATTCTACCACTTCCTCTCGGCCTCCCTCCAGTAAGAACCAAGAGCTGGCTGGATAGGTTCTGAGAAGTCGAGCCTGTGTATCCATTCCCTTCCCTGCAGCTGCTGGGGGAGCCCTGGTTCTGTCCTCCTCCTCTGAACTCTGCTGCAGACATTGTCTCGATTTCTCTCTCAATTAATGTCTCCACTTCATGCCCCGCACTGACCCATTTCACATACTGCAGCCCGGGTTGGCTGCACCGACCCCACAACTGTGTTTATGTTTCTCTTCTTGTTTCAAATCCATGTGTGAGTCCTCATTCCCTACAGAATTAAATTCAAATTCTTTCTTCTTATATCCACCCTCCATAATCACCCTAACTCTCCTTTATGAATTTTATGAACTCCCCATGAATCTCTTAAAGAATTTTCATCCCAGCTGTACTTGACTCCTCACTGCACGAATTCCTTCCTTCTCTCCTTCCTTCCTTCCTTTAGAATAAAATGGGTTGGAAACGGATGTTCACTCTTTCCCAATAAATGCTACACATTCTGACTCATGTGCCTCTGTTTAACTTTTTCCTTCCATGGATTTGTCCCCCATCCCCACCCTTTCCCCTATGTACCTGTCCTTGAAGACCTGGGAAAACGCCACCTTTATCGGGAAACTTCCAGACCCAGAAAACCTTCCAGTGACCTGACTTGTGTTCACACAGAGCTCCAGAGCAAGACCAATTTGATGATGGTGGAAGGAGACATTCTGGATGAGCAGTGCCTGAAGAGAGCTTGCCAGGGCATCTCGGTTGTCATTCACACTGCCTCTGTCATTGACGTCATGAATGTCCTTCACCGAGAGACCATCATGAATGTCAATCTGAAGGGTATGGTATCCCAGGGAGGCTATGGAGTGAGGTGGGTGAATGAGGCTCAGAAAACAGAACAGGAAGGGAGGAGAGGCTCCCATCCCCAAACACCTGCTGAGTCTGCTCCAGCTTTTTCTTATCACTCCTGAGAGATTCAAGGCTGCTATGCTCAGTTTTTTAGAGGAGGAAACTGGGGCTGAGCAAAGCTAAATAACTTGTTCAAGTAAGAAAGCTGGAATTTAAGCCCACACCTATGTGTCTCCAGAGGCCACAAAAGCGCTTTCTACTGAAGCTCCAATCAAGGGTCGACTCCAATCCAACCTTGAACTCTGGCTATCCAACTCTCTTCTGCTTCTCCTGGGCAAGGATCAGACCTCACGAGTGCCTCCCTGGTCATCATATTAGCCTTTCTGTGCCCCTCTGAGTTGGTAGTCACACAGTAAGGCCAAGAGCTAGGAACTCTGTGGTAGGAAGCGTCCCCATGTCCACTATGAGTGAAGGGCCATAGCACCCGGCCAGTTTCCTTCCAGCAGGACACCTGTGCGAGATCCCCCAGCCTAATGAGAACATCTAGCTCCTTCCTGCTCACCCCAAAGAAGGATTCATCTCAAGAGACCTGAAAAGCTAGTTCACAGCTGTCTGGCAGGACAGAATTACCCAGGCCTAGCCTTCCCATGGTATCTTCTTAACAATAATAGCTTCCCCATATCCATAAGAGTACTTCTTCAGCTCGCTGCTGGGTCTTTTGTAAAAGGGTCTTTTCTAGCTAGGTGCCCAAAGTACACCCCCCTAGATCCTCATCAGTAAATGGCTGGTGGCTCTTTCTGTTTGCGACTTTCCAATCTACTTTAAAATGAGACACAGTTGTTTAAGGGATTAGCTTAAATCCCTTACTAGTTTCATATGCAAAGTCATCCTTCTGAGCGCTGGAGGCCAGTCCCTCTAGGACCACAGCTCCCCAACCCCCAGTCCCATCTGGTTTTCATGCCCTGCTCTACAAAGTTGGTCTGTAGACAGAGGCTTCTTCTCTAAAGCAACTCGTTGCTTTAGGGTCTCCAGCCTAAAGTAGTACAATCTCAAGAAATACCCTTTCTAATTTCTACTTAGCCATACTTTCACCACTCCCCCACTGCAAGGAGGGTGCTAGATTAACCGAGTTTTCCTTTTTAGCCCCTTCTGCTAATTCCTGCTCTCCAGGACTCCCAACAACAGGGGATTTGAAATCCCTGAGAAGTGGTAGAGGTATCAGTTAATTAAAACAAGGTCAGTTCCAGGTTTAAAAGATACTTCAAATAATGGTCATTTCCCTCTCTGCAAGTTGATTAGCCCCACATTTTCTCAGCCTCTAGATCTGATTTTTTAAATGAGTCTGTCTCTCTGGAAAATCAAATTGCACAAATAAGAGAGAGAGAGAGAGAAATTAAAACGAAACTTTGCAGGGGGTATACTTAAAGGGGAAGGTGCTCTGCTTGACCTCCCTCAGCTAAAGGGATTCTGCAAGATTATCCCATTATAGGTATCAACCACCAGAGGGCACACTCCCCCTTCTGGTTCTTGCAAGCTCAGCCTAGAAGGCCAATGTCAGGCTCCAGAATGCTAAGTAAAAGGAAGGTTTCTCACCCCCACTTTTCAGACCTGAGTAAAAGGAGTCACAGTCAGAATTAGGAGTGGCCTTTGTATGGAACACTCAATCAGGACTAGGTAAAATTCTAATCCACATTCTGAGTATGGCCTCCTAATTATATTTTATTTAAAATAAACTGTTTTTAACGAGGTGGTAGGGATAAGTGAACATTTTCTAATGCCTTCACTCAGCAAAACATAAAATGGCAATCCTCTGTCCTTTTCCAAAATTCAAAGTACACACACAGGTCCAGGAAATCCAAAAAAAACCTAGAATTCATGCTCTCCAGACCCCAAAGTTCGGTTTCTTCTCACTTCTGCCTTTTTGCATTTTTCCTATGGCTATAGCATGTTTAGCTGGAGACACAGAGGAATGCACTCCTCCTGATCTGCAGTAACCATCTCACTTGGGGGAGGGGCTGGACACGGTCTGCAGCCATGGTAGGCCCTTTGGGTTATTTGTTGACGCTGATGTTGTACTCCCCATGGGCAGGTACTCAGCTCCTGTTGGAAGCCTGTGCCCAGGCTAGCGTGCCGATCTTCATCTATACCAGCACCATTGAGGTGGCTGGCCCCAACTCCTATAGGGAAATCATCCAGAATGGCCACGAAGAAGAGCATCACGAATCAAGATGGTCTGTTCCATACCCCTACAGCAAAAAGCTTGCAGAGAAGGCGGTGCTAGCTGCTAATGGGTGGGCCCTTAAAAATGGTGGCACCTTGCACACCTGTGCCTTAAGGCCCATGTATATATATGGGGAAGGAAGTGCATTCCTTTATGACTGTATATACAAGGCCCTGAGGAATGATGGGGTCCTGACACATCAGAGCAAGTTCTCCATCGCCAACCCTGTCTATGTTGGCAATGTGGCCTGGGCTCACATTCTGGCCTTGAGGGCCCTAAGGGACCCCAAGAAAGCCCCAAGCGTCCAAGGACAGTTCTATTACATCTCTGATGACACACCTCACCAAAGCTATGATGACTTCAACTACACTTTGAGCAAGGAATGGGGCTTCTCCCTTGATTCCAGAATGAGCCTTCCCCTATGTCTGAAGTACTGGCTTGCCTTCCTACTGGAAATAGTGAGCTTTCTGCTCCGTCCAATTTACAAATATCCACCCCCCTTCAACCGCCACACAGTGACATTGTTAAATAGTGTATTTACCTTCTCCTATAAGAAAGCTCAGCGGGATCTGGGGTATAAGCCGCTCTTCAGCTGGGAGGAAGCCAAGCAGAAAACCATGGAGTGGATTGGTTCCCTGGTGAAACAGCACAAAGAGACCCTAAAAACAAAGACTCACTGATCTGGGGGTGACAAGTAGATACAGAGGTTGTTGGGAGATGTCTATCGAGCTCTCTCCCTCTGGCTTCATACAGGAAGAAACAAGGCCACAGGCCCAGGTCCTACTGTCTCCCTTTTACAAGATGGCTGCCTTACTGTTTTCCTCCTACCACCGGAAACTTTCCCAGTCCCTGGCCCAACCGGAAGCTTTCTGTCCTGCCCACACTGCAGAGGACAGACAGTGAGATTTGCTGTAGCTGCTCATATGAAAGCCTCCACTCCTGGCTCTGAGCTATTCGGGCCTCTTCCGTGTAGAATGTTGCCTATTAGTTCCATTTCCTTTGTTGCATGCAAAGTATTTCTTATCTTTTACAAATTCCTAGTCCCACGCACAGCTCAGTGGAAAGAGTAATAAATGTTTTAATGCCTAATCTGCAAGACGCTGTGGTTGACATGAATACATACGTTCCTCCTTCCCCCTCCATTTCTAGGGATCGTTATCTCCTATTTAGAAAAGCAGCATGGAATGGAGGTGGGCAGAAGCGTTGCGGGGGGGGCGGGGATTAAGATCAACGAAGTATTTGCTATGTTTCAGGCAAATATCACTTCATTTAACCCTCTCTAGAAACCTCTGAGAGGTTTAGAAACCTTACTAAGGTTTCTAGTAAGGTTTAGAAAGTAGTAAGTTCTTCCAGTAAGGTCTGGAAACCTTACTGCCTTTTATGGCTAAGGACACTTGATCATCAAATACCACTCACTAACTGCTAAGTGACCAGGACATTTAGACTGACTAGAAAGCCCCTATCTATCCACTGAATCTTGCAACCTGAACTGCCTAAATTTATAGCACAATGGGGGTGGGGTGGAGGGCTTGGTTAGCGGTGCAACAGAGCACAGACAGGTGGAGTGTGACCATGCTGCTCCTTGGGAGAGGCCGGTTCCTTTGGGTCACCTCCTTCTTGCTCAGCCCTGTGTAGGAGACCCAGGAGAACCCCTGAGAGGTAGCTGGGAGGTCTTCAAGCCCTTGCCAGATGGCCTGGGCAGGGAAAGGAGAGGCAGAGATGCCACCAGCCTCTATCACCAATGTCAATGTCCTTGAAGACCCCTAGGACATAGGACGCACTGGGGCCACCTTGGCAGTTCACAACCTGTATCTAAACTTTCAAATCACATCATGAAACCACACCATGGAAACCACACTAGGAAAGTAAAGGGAACAGGTGTGAAGGCCCCTAAAACTTTGTCTCCTACCTGGTTCAAGAGGTAGAGAAGTCTACTACCCCCACTTCCCCTGCAGAATCAACTCATCCCTACTCTTTTCTCCTCTCCCCATCTATCTCTCACACTCCCTGCTCGAATGAGGCTTTATCCCTCTACCTCCTTAGCCTCTGTCCTTTCCCTCCATCTTCCCTTTCATCACTGGCCTTTGCAACCAGCATCCTTCTCTGTTGCCCTGAGGAGAGGAGGCCAACCAAGGCAGGTTTGGGGACTTGAATGATGACAGGGTCCTCAGTTGAATAGAGGACCAACAGTTGAAAGAAACACAGTCAGGGCCAGCAGAGACTGCGTGGCCTGAAGCTGGTGAGGAGGTGGCTGTTGGGCTCAGAGTATGGGAAGTGAGAGCTGCCTATCTCCAGACTGGGCTGTTGCCTGTCTCTACGAACCAGAGCCACGGAAGGGTCACACCAAGCATCCAGATGGCTTCTTTCTCACCCAGGGAATGTACGGATTAGGCATTCAGTTGAGTTTGATTACCCTGAAGGAGATAGTTTATGCTTTCATTCTAAGGAGAAAGGGAAAAAATATTCTGGTGGGGACAAGGGTTTCTATCACTTTTAAAACCCCAAGGGCCAGAGGACCCACAGTGGGCATCGGGTATCAGAGCAGGGTGGCCCCATCCTGTGGGGGTAGGGGAGAATGACACATTCCCTCCTGCCTCCCTCCAGGGCACAGAACACAAAGGGCAGTACCTGTCCCCTCCTGGGCTATGCACACACCTTGACACATGCATGCCCATGCTGGGAGCCAGGAAAGGGAAGAAGGTGGCGAAATCTGGGACAAGGGCCCTTCAGCTGGGTTTTTAACCTGGTGAGATTCCTTATCTATGAACCTGCCAGGGATTCTCACAAGGAAGAGAAGGAGCTCTGTGGCCAGAGGGCAAGGGAGGGCAGTGGGAGCAGAGACAGAGGAGAGGGGAAGGGATGAGTTGGTGGTCTAGCTGAATAAGCCTAAAAGCCTTGGAATGTTTGGGCCCATGAAACTGGCCCTTCTTACTTACAATGAGCACAGAACTGAGGGCTCCGGACTTTTAGAGCTAATGCACAGAAGCCCTCTTCCCTCCTCTCCTCTCCTCCCTCCCTCTCTCCCCCTCCATTCTCCTCCCCTTTCCTTCTATCTCCATCTCTGTCCCCTTCTCCCCCATTTCCGGGCCCCCTCCCCCACCTGGAGCAGGGTGAATGAGTGAATGAAAATGCAGGTAAGGGCTCAGTCATCTGGTTAAGCCCTAAGGGTGAGTCCAGGGAACAGAGCTCACCGGATGTTGGGAGGGCAGTGAGGAAGCCCCACAGAGCAGCGGGGCCTCAGCGAGGCCTTTAGGGGGTGATGGGACTTGGGTAGAAGAGGGAGATATTCCAGACAGGTGAGGAGCCTGAGCAGCGGTGCCAAGGAGAGGGTGAAGTGTGGAGGTGGGAGGGAAGGAGGGTGAAGGGGAATGAGGAGGCTGGCCTGCCGGGGTGGGAAGGGTTTAGCCCAGGGGAGATTAGATAGTTTAGGGTGTCAGAGGGGACAATGAGGCTGGCCTGAGGGCAGAGGTGGGGCAGGCAGGCGGGTGAATGGCTGGGTGAAGGGCCCACAGGAAGGTGGCAGGGGGCCTGAAGGAGTGAGAGGGGGTGAGGCAGACCCGAAGGCCAGCCAGACAAGCTGTTGTAGAAACCCAGAGACCCTGTCTTTCACTCCACGTATAAAATTCTCAATTCATTAACATGCAAAGAGCAATACTGACCTCTCATTAGTAAGTCCAAATATCCAAGAAAGAGCCAAATATAGTCTGGGATGAGGGCAGGGCAGCTCTGGGGTTAGGATGGGCCCCCTCATCCCTGGCACCCCGACAGCTCCAGGCAGTCTGGCCCACCCTGAAACGGATGATGCTATCAGGAAAGGTCATCCAAGAGATGTGACCCCCGATTGACCCTCAGGCTGGACCAGGGCTCTCAGAAGCTCCCGAGCCCCTCCCCTGTCCTTGGAATGCGAGCCCTCGCTGGCCTTTTCCATTCCCAGAGGCCACTCCAAGGACAGGTCTTGAGATAACGAAGTGGTGTTGAGAACACCCGCCCAGTATCCCTGACCGAACCCAGGGAAGGCCTCTATGTAAACTTTTTAAGAATTGGCAGATGGGCACAAGGATCTATTCATCTCGGGGCCACCCAAGATAAGCCTCGTTAGTAAGGTCCCTTTGCTTGTAACAGCGTAGCTGCCGCCTACCAACCTGGAGCAGCCTCTTAAGTCTCTCCCTGCCCTCTGATTGTAGGAACCGGGTGCAGATTACACCTGGACACCTAGGAAGCTTCCATGAGGACAGCGAGCCAAGTCTGTATCACAGGTCATGTGAATATCCGTGCTTTTGTCCTGGAGATATTTCAATGTGTTGCAATTACAAGGTGCTGGTGCAGAGCCTCCTCGGGGTATTATTTAATATATGATATTACCTTATTACCTCATGAAAATCTGAAAGAAATCCAAATTTCAAAACACAGCTAGCCCCGAGAGTTTCAGACAAAAGTTCACGGACCATGGGAGGCAGAATTGCGTACCAGGTATTCCCTTCCACATTTCATACAATGGTCCTAATTGGACTTCGGAGGAAGGGGTGGCACAGAGAGGTAAGTAATTTGCTCGAGGTCATCCAGTGAGTTCATGGCTCAGGTCAAGTAATCAAAGGGCTTCCAAGGGTCTACATGAAGATGTGAAACTCACACACCTGCGGGAGCCAGCCACCCAGACTATAAGTGAGGCGGGCTAAAGCAGAGAGGCCTGGCGGGGAGTGATGGGGGTCTGTGGTGTCTGGGAGACCACATGCTCTGCTCCTGGGAGCTGGCGGCTGCCGAGCACCCCCGGTTCAGGCCTGGGATGCACCCCAAGTTCCCAGATCTTCAGACTCTCTGAGGAAAGCAAAACCTTCCCAAATTTTATATGAAATCTCTCAATTTCTAAATTTGGCACCTAATTCTAAATTTCGAAAACTGTGTAAGGATCAGCTCTGGGAATGTGTGGGCGGGTGCTGCAATCGTATGTGTAATATTTTATCTCTTAAAGAGTGGGCAGCCCGCCGTGTTCATTCTTGGTGGTAGGTCCTGGGTAAAGGTTACAGCATATTCTGTACTTTTCTGTATGTTTGATACTGGTTGTAATTTTGTGAATAAATTAATTTTGGTTTAAGAAAAAAAAAGAGTAAAAACTAATGAAACACATCTGCGGGCCAGACCCACAACTAGGGTTTCCAGAGTTCCATCTCTGTTCCCAGGCGGCAGGTACCGTACACAGGAAAACGTACGAAGGCCGTTAGAAAGGATCCCATCGGGGTAGGGGACTCAATAAAGCGCTGGCATTTGGGCTGAATACTGACAGATGGGTAGGATTTCAAAAGGCAGATGTGGCAAGGGGTGTATCCCAGGCGAAGGCGAGGAAGTCTGCCAAGAAACAGAGGTGGGAGAAGGGAGTCCTTTTTAGGTGGTGTAGACAGACCAGAGAGCATAGGTGTCAGGGAGAATGGAAGACACACCTGGAAAGACACGATGGGAAAAAACCAGGGTCACCTGGGGTCACCACTAGGAGATACTCTGCCTCCTTCCTTCTTTCCCCTCAGAGCACAACTCGGTTGCCCTTCTAAAGACATTTTGACATTTAGCTACTTTACATGTAATATGCCTTAGTGGAAAATCATACTTGTTAAGGGCAAAGAGCACGTCTCCATGCCCCCACTAGCAACGAATCTTAACAGTCAGGCTAAAGAACCTGGAGATTATTCAATATGCAGTCAGCAACCTGTTCAGCTGTCCCTGGAAGGTTACTTTGGCACCGGTCGGTGTGTAGGATGGATTGGAAGAGATTAAGAGGATACTTCAAGAATCCCAGCAAGAAATAAAGGCCTCATTTATGTAGTGTTAGCAAAACGGGACACAGAGAGCAACTGGGGCCAGCCTGAGGCAGAACGGACATTACTACGTCAGGAAATGC